ACTGCCAGGATGTGTACCGGGGCCGGCTGGCCTCTGTGCACAGCGCTGCCCGCAACCAGGAGCTGCAGAAACTGGCACAAACCTACCACATCATCATCTCACCCTGGATTGGAGCTGTCACCAGCCGCAGGGTGAGGGCACTCTGGGGACAAGGGGCTGCCAAGGGGTGCTGGGAGCTGCTTTGGGGGGTGAGGGGCTGGGGCTGCTTTGTATGGGACGAGCCTGGGGCTGGAGGCTGGGTTTTGAGGCGTGAGGGGCTGGCTGCTGGTTGCTGGGGCTGGTTTTTGGGGTTGAGAGGCTGGGGAGGGGTGATGGGGGCTCTCCCTGGGGACTGAGGTGTTGGCACAGCAGGCAGGGCAGTGGGAGTCCTACTGGGAGGACTCCAGCCCCTGGAACTACGCAAACTGGGCACCTACCCACCCCTTCCACATCGTCACCACCTGCACCACCCTCAGCGTCCAAGGTAAGCTCACCCAGCCACCGTGTCCAGGCTTGGGGGTGCTGGGGAGGGGAGCACAAGGCACTGGATGAGCTCAGGGGAGCACTGAGGGCACTGGGAGGGGTTACAGGGCACTGGGGGAGGCAAGGGGGGGGTAGAGGGGGCACTGGAAGTGGTTGCAGGGTACTGAGGGGCCCTGGGAACCAGCCATGGCCCTGACACTGTCCTTGTCCCCAGATGGGCTCTGGCGAAGCCGCTTCTGCTTCCAGCTGCGTCCTTTCATCTGCCAGTACTGAGCACCCAGCGCTGCCAAGGCAGCCCAGTTCCTTTCCCAGTAAAGCAGAGAAGCCCTGAGCCGTGTCTGTGTGCACCAGGGGCCTGGGGACGGGGCTGGGGGCTCCAGGGGCAGCACAGTGAGCAGAGGGGGCAGCGATGTTTATTATCCCCACCCCACTGGCACAGCGCCCCCAGGCAGGTACAAAAAAGGTGTTTGGGCGTGGGGCTCAGTGCGGGGTCTCGGCGTGGATCTCAGTGCTGGGGGGCCCTGCCAGGGGGGTGCCAGCCATGCCCAGCTCCTTGGCTCGCCGCTGGCACTCGCGGGCCACCACCACGGGGCTGACAAAAGCCACCAGCACCACGGTGATGAGCCCCAGGTTCATCTGCAGAGGGGAAGAGTGTCAGGGAAGGGGTCTGGGGGGCCGTCCCCCATCCCCTGTGTTAGGCCAGGACCCTTGTGGCAGCACCTCCATTTCTCCAGAAGCAGGACGCCCTGGAGGTGCAGGACCCCCATTTCTCATGGCATAAGACCCAGTCATTCCTGGGGGAAGGACTCCATCCCTCCCGGGGCAGCATCCCCATTTCCCCATGTGGCAGGACCCCATTTTCATATGGGCAGGACTAGAATCCCCATTGTCCCAAGGGGTGAGACCCCCATTTCCCCATGTGGCAAGACCCCTTCCCTCCCAGAGCAGCCCCCCAGCCCTCTCTCGGGGGGCACACTCACATAGAAGGGGTCCCCCTGGAGCGGCCCCTGCACCAGGGCAACACAGGGGTACTGCAGCAGGGCCACCAGCGCCGACAGTGCCATGGCCAGCCCATAGAGCTTCCCGAAGTGCTGCGGGGGAAACCTGCCAGGCACCCATGTCACCAATGGGCACCTCCTGGCACCCCTACCCTGGCACCCTCCTGAGCCCTGACACCTCCACTGTGTCACCTGCCCCCCTCCAGTCCCACCGCCATCCCCTGCCACCCTCCAGAGCCACCGCCATCCCCTCCCACCCCTTGCTGACCTTGCCGCCCTGGCTNCTCATCCTCGGGCAGGGGGGTGAAGGTGCCGCTCTTTCCTGGCCTCAGTGCCTCTGCCATCAAAGTGAGTCCCTTGGACTCGTGGCTGCAGGGTGGGAGGGAGGGTGGAACGCAGGGAGATTAAGGAGGGTGGGGCTGGGGCCTGGCTAAAGACGGAGAGAAGGCAGTGGGGGGATTTGGGGGACAGAGCACTGTGTTTCTCCCTGACCTCTCTCTGCCCCCAGGCCAAACTGAGGGGTCGCAACCGCTCGGCCGAGGAGGGGACATCATCAGAGGACAGCAAGGGGACCCCTCCTAAAGACCCCCATGTGCAGCGCTCCAAGTCCTGCAAGATCCCTGGTGTGAGTGGGAAACCCCCAGCCCTGCCCCCCAAGCCAGAGAAATCCTCAGGGTGAGTGTGGGGCCAGGATCCTCCTCATGGAGGCAAAAGGGGAAAGGGGAGGCTGAGGGGTCAGTCTGGGTCCCAGGACTGGTTTTGGGGGCTCATGCTGAAACTCTGCCAATACACCAGATCCGAGGCCTCTCCCCCCCACTGGCTGCAGGCCCTGAAGCTGAAAAGGAAGAAGCCTTGAGCAGGGTGAGTGTGGGATTTCATGCAGTGCTGGGGACAGCCCCCAGCTCAGGCTTCCCCATGTCTGCACTGCTGGGGGTAGCCCCTTCCCTCCTCTGTGCTCTGGCTGGGTCCCCCCAGGCTGGATCATCCCTGGAGGGGCCCTGCAGGGTCCTCACTCCTTCCCCCTGTGTCACTTCCAGGCTCACTCCGACGCTGAAGCCCGCTGTCCCTGGACCAGGGCTGTTCCCTCCCGTGGGAACACACACACACACATACACACACACACACACACACACACACACCTATGCACTTTGTACGAGCTTGCAGGGTCCCTGTCTTCCCAGCACCTGCTCCCCAACCCCCCATTGTACCCCATCCCCTTGGTCCCCCAGGGCCTGGGGGTGGGCACAAGCCCCCCCTGCCCCTCTGCCCTGCTCGTGTATGGCCCCGGACACAGGGCAACGGGTCCAGCTTGTGGTGCCACTGCCACAGACAATAAAACCTTGCTGGTCAGTTCAGAGAGTCCTGACTCTTCTCCTGGGCCGTGGGCAGGGGTCACGGAGATCCTTGAAGAGGGGACCCTGCCACTGCCATTGCCCACACAGGAGCTGTGCAGGAAAGAAGGGACACCTCCAAAACCCCTCTGTGCCCACCTTGGGTGCACCCAGCCTGGCCCTGCCCAAACACCAAGTGTGTGCTGACAGCAAGACTTTATTGTACTCTGAGGGAGGGGGGAACAGCAGTAGGGGAGGACTCGGGGGGGCTGAGCCCCTCATATCTCGCAGATGAAGGGCAGCTGCCTCTCACAGCGCACGCTCCTCCAGAGCCCATCTGGGGAGAGAAGAGGGGGGATCAGCCCATGGCCTGCCCACCAGCACCCCACCCTCAGGGACCCCTGCAGCCCCAGATACCTTACACCAGCCCCCCAGTGTAACCTCCCCATCCCGAGCCCCCCAGCGCCCCCCTGGCCCCCCGGAGCCCCCACTGACTGTTGGTGCAGAGGGCGGTGCAGAAGCGGTGGCCGGGCAGGGGGTGCCCCCGCACCCACCGGCTGTAGTTCCAGGGGCTCCGGTCAGTCCAGTGGCAGTTCGGGTATGGCACCTGCCAGGGGAGAAAGGGTGTGGGGACAGTGGGGTGAGAGTGGGACATCCAGGGTGGGCATTAGGGAAACTGGGACAAGGCTGGAGCAGCCAGGTGAGCACGGGGGTGGAGTTGTGGCTCTCTTGGTTGGCACTAAGAGCACTGGGAATGGGATCGGGGAACCCAGGTTGTGCACTGGGAGTCGTGGCACGGGGCTGGGACACCCGAGGTGGGCACTGGGGACACT